GATTATATTAAAAGAAATTAGACTAAAAATGCACTGTTTCTTACTTCTAACGAATAAGAATGTGTTAAGCTGCCATCGTAGACTTTTATCATAAATTGAGGAGGTATTATTAAGCACTTACAAAATGAACGAGATGCTTCTAAACTGAACCTCAGTACAAGATACTTGGGGTGCTTAAAAAAGGTCAGAAAAGTTAAATTCGGATGATGGCAAAGTTACCTTTAAATACAGAAATATCTATTGTTTTTACGTATGAAAGATAAATCTAAAAAAGCAAATGCCTCACCAAACCTGAATTTATTGAATTTATTTTAGCTGAGCCCTGGGTTTCAGGATTGATTTAATTTTATGAAAACTGTTGAATACTGTGTTCATCAGACAATGTATTTAGTCATTAGGCTCAGTGTTCCTGTTTTCCCTGCAGTGCTGGAACTGGTAAAATTCTTTTTAGTTAGTGATCTTTGAAACAGAATATTTGGACCTTCACACTGCTCAAAGCGTAAGAAGGCTGGACTGCTTACTCAGTTTCTCTAACACTAATGAGACAGGCCTCCTTCAAAGCCATCTGACTGATACACAAAGTGAGGATTTCTTGCTTAAAGCACAAATACCATTACATTAAAAAAAAAAAAAAAGTCATTTTGGGGGGAAGAATTTGAAAAATTACTTCTGCACATAAGTAGCAACTATAATTTTCATAGTTGTACACTACTGCAGCAGACTTTGATTGTTGCAAAATTTGGACCTCTTAAATGTTTTTCATATTACTTCAGTTGAAATTAAAACCAAACCAGAGGCTACAGAATTGTAACTAAAAGAGCAGATACTACTGTTTTTGCCATGTTAGTTAAACTGCAGTGGATCCTATTAACTCACATGCTCTAATGATTCTGTTTCACCAACTGTTTCACAATCTTGCAAGATAGGAAATGTCGGTGCCAGTTGGAGCTGACAAGATTCCAAACCTCCTGTATTCTTGACTGTCTCTGCTCATCTGGTAAACACTGAGCATCACTTAGGGCAAGAAGTCAAGCAGTGCTTGTTTCACCATGTGAGGATGAATCAGGAGAATCTTACCAACATCCCTTCAGCTATCTGTATCATGGGCCTAGAGTAGACAGGATGAAGACTGGTAAATATCACAGTTCATGGATTAGCCCATGACGTCTGCTTTGTACACAAGTCTCTGAAAAACGCGTGCATCAATAGAACAAAAGGCCAATGGTAGGCTAAAGGTTCTTTTTTTCCCTTTCTGAAGCAGCTCATGACACAGCAGACATTGGGATCTGCTGCCCTCCAGTGCATGCTTGCAGATGTCCTCTCTGCCAGAGGACTGCATTTTGAGACCTCGAGAATTCTTAAGAAGAATAGAAAAAAAAAGTAAAAAAGAAATTGAGTGTTTAATTCTTTATGCGTCTTATTTAGGATCTAAAATAATTGCTAAGACTTGTTTCTTAATTTTGCTGTTTTGTTCTGGCCTTGTCAGAGTATTTCTACATCCAAGTAGAGTGTTCTAGTTTGTTCTATGAAATTGGTTCTCTTCAATTAGCTCTTACTCTTTCATTTTCTATGAACATACACAATGATTATATACATAACACAATACATATGGTAATTATATGCAAATAGTGTATCTGTCCCATTTCATATCTGCATTCTGTCCGTAATTCTTATCTTTATGATTCTTACTGACACATCAGAGATCTTTCTAGAATCCACTTTAAAAGGAAACAATGAAGACTTGCTATAGAAAGTATTTTCTCACTGGCTTGTACAGTTCTTTCAGAAATATTTATGTGTATTATTGAATTTTTTGAACAAGAAATGTATTTAATAAAATGTTATGCCAGGCCCTTGCAAAATCTGATTTGTGGGCTCTTTCAGCTCTGCAGAATCACAATGGGACTTTGCATAAAAAATTAATTGGAATTGTGCGGTCTTTCTCTTAAACAGTGATGTATAATGATGTAAATGATCAGTACAATGGTGTTGATATTAAGGTAAACCAGTTTTGTAAAGATGTATAAGTGCAGGAAAAGTAGGCTGTAAAGACATTTTAAATATATACACACATTTCTAATTGAATAATCAAATTTGGTGATGATGAGGGGTTGATTAAAGGGAACGTTTTAATTTACAAATTGAGTTTCTGTCCTGATTGTGAAGGAGAACCTTAAAAATGCGGATTCTGTGAGCTTATGGAATACCTTAAGAAATCTGGAAAATCTCATTATTTTCCTTATAAGTGGTTAACTTAGGCATGAGATAATTTTTTACGATTTTGACACTTTATTCCCTCCAGAAAGGCCAAAGCCCAAGAAAGGCAACCAGTTAGCCCAGTTTTTCCCAACAGAGCTCTAAGTTTTATGATACCTGAGAGATGCTACGTACGCGTGTGTGTGTAGCGCCATAACAAGATGTAGTCGAGAATGAGGAGATGAGGGAAAAAAAATCGCAATTGCAGTTCTGATTTTAAAAAAAGAGGGGAAAAAAAGGGGAAAAGAATATGTCCACGACAACTTGGCACCAGGTAGAGACATTTCTAAGCCTTGGTTCTGCCCCGTCGCTGCTCGCAGTCCTCCGCCCTCAGCAGCTCCGCACCCGCACAGCGCCACGGGCGGGACGGAATGGGACGGAATGGGACGGAATGGGCTCTCTCCGGCCCTCACAGCGGTGGGACGGGCGGGACGGGAGCTCTTTGCCCCTCAAAGCGGCGGGACTGGAGCACTCCGGGCCTCGGAGTGGAGGGATGGGCGGGGTGGGCGCTCTCCGCCCCTCACAATGGCGGGACGGACGAGACGAGAGCTCTCTGCCCCTCAGAGCGGCCGGGCAGGAGGGATGGGCTCTCTCCGGCCCTCGGACTGGAGGAGCGGGAGGGATGGGCGCTCTCCGCCCCTCAGAGCGGCGGGACGGGCGGCCGCGGCCCCGCCCCATGGGGAGCGGAGGCGGCGGGCGGCGGAGGCGGTGTCGGGCCGGTGAGTGAGTGTGGCGGCTGCTGCCGGGCCGAGGCGCTGCTCTCGGGGCCTCTCTCTGCCGAGCGCCTGCGGAGGAGGCGGCTCCCAGCCCCAGCTGTCCTGTAGAGCGGCCGGGCCGGGCCGGGCCGGGCCGGACCCGGGAAACCCCGGCTGTGAGCGAGGGGCCTGCGGGTGAGGGCGGGAGGCGCCGGTGCCCGGCAGGTTCCGGACTCCACAACCCCGGGAGTGCCGCAGGTTGGAAACCGCGTGGGTGGGAGCGCAACACAGAATGCCTACAGGGTAGCCACTCGCTCTGCGAGGGGGAAAAAAAAGCGAGGAAAAAACCCACAACCTCATCCGGCTCCTTAGTCCATATGGTAAAATTTATTTCTCTCCCTTTTTTTGCCCCATTTTGCTCCATTCCGTGTAGATTATGGAAGAAGAAATGACAAAATGTTGACTACTATGATAAATCTTTCTCATGCAGCAGACTTTAAGTTCAGTGCCTTTGCCCAACTTCGCTGATTTTGGCAACAGTTCTCTTGGCTCAATAAGCCATCTGTTGCATATAGATGGTAGGAAAAAAAGTCCTGGAGAGCCCTCCACTGGTAAAATGGCACCTTTTCTTTCTCCAAGGCTTTCATCCTCTAGACAATAAGAAGAGACAGTCCTTCAAAGACTTGACAGTATTTAGTTGAGGTTTAATATTTTCTAGGTTTGTGTGGCCAAAAAATATTAAGCCCAACACAAATATATTTACATTATTACATTACTGTGGTGGCAGACAGGCTTTCAGTGTTTCTAGTAATGTTTATCACTGACGCTATTTGTTACCTGAAAAAATGCAGCAGCTTTAAGGGGTCTGACCGTGTTGTTCAAGCTCTGTGACATGTTTTTTTTTACAAATTAAATAACTAAAGCTCAAAAATGAAGGAACAACAGCATTTGGCCTTTTGTTTCAAAGGAGAAAAAACAATTAATTACAAAATTGTAACTCTTTATAAAATGTCCCAGAGGTTCAGCAGCGTCCCCACGTCAGGGTACTGTGACCAGGAGTGACTGTGGGCAGCTGTGAAGGGAGCAGAAGAGCCTACAACTCAGAGATTGTATCTATGCTAGAACAGTTACAAAGCACAGCATGAACCAAATGATTGTTAATACACAGATGGATTCATCTGTTTCCCATGACCAAGTCCAACTGTATCTTTCAGTCTAGTTTAAGTACCAAACCTGAGTTTCAACCCAGTTAGCAACCAGAATATGCCTTTCTATCCACTAAAAAACATTTACTGCACCGACCTTTTTGATAGCCTTTCTTGCTTCTCACTCCTCTAAAAATACAGAAAGCTGTAGGAGTAATCATTTGTTATCCCTTTTCCTCTAACATGATAATTTTCCTGTTTTCTCTGTGGATATGCAAGCCTGAATTCCAGGAGGACTGACTACATGAATGCTTCAGAGCACTGAAAATTAGAATGGATGAAAAGAATTCCTAATTTAATTTCTGGGTTCACCAGACATGACTCTTGGCCAAAATGCTGATGTCTGACTCCAAGATTGAAAAAATAAACATTAATAAGACTAAGAAAGAAATTAATATTACCTTTTAATTCCCCCACAAAGATCAGTGCATTTTCTGTGTTTGAAGAACCTTACAACTTTTGAAGAGAGTTGAAATGGAGTTTGCAGTACTTCTCTAGCTGCCTGGCATTGTGCAACTTCCCTGAACTGGAAGAAACTTTGTATCCTAATGATAAAAACTTAGCTTGGGATAATATAAACCATCTCATTGGTGTGCCATACACATACTTGGTTGTGCTAAAACACATACAGGGGTAATAATTGAGAGTACGTTCATTGTCAAAGTAACAGGAAATAATTCTCTTGAGCCTGTGCTATGTCTTAACATGTCATATAATATTATAGTGGGAATATGTGTGTTTGGGAAAAAAAGAATAGGCCTTGGTGGTTTTGTTTTATTTTATTTTGGGGGTTGGGGGGGGGGTGAGATGTGTGTGGGAGAGTATCTGGTTATATTAAGGGGGCCTTTCCATTTACATCCTAGAGTAGCTTAAGTGGAGGAACTCAGAGTTACAGATGAGAAAAGAGGCATTTTTAGAAATAAAACAAGTCGTAAAAGTGCTTTATAGGAGGCTTTTACATTTAATGGCCAGTAGACTTGTCTCTGTTTTCACTGGAAACGTGTCACAGAAACAGTGGGAGAAGTGTTACATGCCATTGCCTGTTCTTACTGAGGCTCTTCAGCAAAGTACTTTCCATTATGTTCCTCATAAAGTTTTCACAGTTTCTACATTTCTGTGGTATTAAAGGTGGATATAATTTTTTTCTTCAGGTATTTTAGGCGCTTGCAGAGATTGACCACGCCACAGTTATACAGGTCTGCTGCTGCTCATGCAGTGTGGTGGTTTTGTGGGATTGCCTTGTGTCAAATAATAGTTCTGTTTTTCAGTACACCATGACACTAATGCTTGAAATATTTACATCTGTCAGTAATTTTTCTTCCTTGCAAGTTAGTTCTGCATGTAAGGCTTGCACATTTTTTTGTTTAATTTTTCTGTTTCTCACTACAAAGTGAAAGAGGCAAAGATATGCATGTTTGTCTCTCTGCATTAACTAAATCCTGCAAGTGTTCACAGCAGGCTGCAAGAGTTACACTGTCTTTAGTCTGACCCTGGGAATAGCACCAATGTCATGGTCATGTTTGAAGATAGCATCAGTATGTTACACAAGTAGTTTTTGTAACCTTAAACAAGGGGAGAAATAGAGACCTTCATAATATTTTTGATTTTGCATAATTATTCTCAAAGATAACCTTGAATATGCTAAGTGGTATTCTTAGCAATTATTTAAAAAGTATTTGCAGGTCTTTTTTAAACAAATGTATTTCTTCTGTGTCTTTCAGAGTATCTGCTGACTGGTGTCAGATTTACTTGCTGTTTACTTGTGTTAGTCCTCAGACAAGCAGCTTCTTCTTGTAAATGAGCATCAATTGCTTGCTTGCAGATGGCTAAATGCAGTGGGATTATGGGGATATTTGGAAGGTCTAATTGAGTTAGCCACAACTCAGTACTGTGTGAGAAAGACACTGATTTCAGAAGTGAGACTGAGTTTGTAGCACTGGAGTATGAGAAAGGCAAAATCAGAATACTTTTAAAACTTATGCATTTGAGGCACAAAGTGTCTTTTCTAGGTGTTTTCAGTCGTGGGAGATATTCAATGTTTGCCAAGTCACTGTGACAAAACTTAGGGTAGTTACATAAAGTTCATAGGCCTCCCTTTCCAGTGTGACTGGTCATCTTAATTTTCTTGATTTCATCATATCTGATTTGGAACACTTGGAAATGGAGACCAGTTTTAAAGATGTGCAACTTTGAAAAACTTGGCTCTTTTTCTATTCTATATTATCAATTTTAATAGCAATTTTTATTACACAAACACATTTCCACAAGAATTTTAACAGAAACTTTGAAGCTTGAATTGCATTTAGTCCTAGCTGTTACTCAAAGAAAAGAAGATCAATGTTGTCAAATAAGGGAAACCTTCCTTTGAGATGACACTCAGAAACATTTTTCAGCCCTGACAATTACAGTGTTTCATCCTCTGTGTTTACAACTGTTACAAGGTAATAATTTAGTAGCACTTGCTTTATTGAAACAAAATTACTGGGGGGGAAGAGGAGAGGATCTTAAAATTGCTAAGTGATGTGTGGGAACTCCTTCCTAGAATCTGGAAGGTTTTTCAGGTCACTTATTTATTATGCAGGCATGTTCCTTGCTTCACGAAACTTCTGTTGCCGTGGCATTAGAAACTGCCAGCTAAGAGCAGATTTGCTTTCCAGATCCATCAAACATTCCACCTCTGCAGTAAGTATTCCTTCAGCTCCATAGAGAAAACTATTTCATGCAATATTTTAGAGATGTATTAATTTTGCAATATTGCAAATATATATGCTTTAGAGGTATTTTATTTCTTGTTATAGATAAAAACATTTGCTATCAAAACCGAAATAAGGTATTTGAATTAGTCAAATATTAACCACACTAGCGTAACAGAATTTGGTGATTATTGCTTTGTGTATCCTTTTTAGTCTTTAAAGTCACATCTAGTACATATCACACCAGAAAGATTGCCTAGCTTTTAGAGAGAAGCTTGAGATACAGGAGACAGGTTCAATCTCAGCTTTATCACAGGCTTTTGGTAAGACAATTTATTTCTTTTTATCTCAATTTTCCTTCAATGGTATGAGAGTAATGATGCTTCTTGATGCTGCAATAACAAAGGGCCTATAAGTACCTTAATTTTATGTAGAAACTTCTTAATTTCCCAGTTTAACTACTTATAAAATTGTGTAACTTCATTTTAAGTCCTCCAGTTATATTGAGAGAAAACAGCTTTACAGCATAGCAGGCAGCTGGAGGTGACACTCGGCATTCCATATAGAACACTGGAATGTAAATTATGTTACCAGTTCATCCAGTCAACAAATTGTGTCAACAAAGGCACATGACAGATCCTTCGAAACAGATGCTTGAACCATTATACTGGAAAGTTGTAACATAGTTTGTCCCTATGAGAAGTTTCTTTTAGTGTGCAAGCCACTTTATAGGTCAGCTTTTGCCTGAATCAGTTTTTCATATGATGTGTGTATTTCTATTCTATTTGATTGAGTTGGATATTCATATTAAATGTCCTCAAATTTAATACTGGTTGTTTTATTTTGTTTTTAATTTTTAATTTTCTTAAGATCTTGGCTTAAGTTGTAGCTCTTGACTGTGTATTCTACAATTTATTTATGTGCCATGTCAGAGTATTTGCTTCCAACCTTCTTAAACTTATTTACATTCAATTTCTTTACAAGTTTCTCTGAATTAAGAAAAAAGATAAATACAAGTAGCATCTGGCTTTCTATCAGGTGCTTCCCTGGTTAGAAAGTGTTAGGGAAAGTAGGAGGTCAATCAGGGCTTGATGAAGACCTGGGTCTCCTACTTAACACTCATCTTTGAATCTTTGACTCCTGAGAATCCTAGCCCTGCACCTAGAAATGGATTGGAGATTATCAGGTGATGACTTAACTGGACTGAAAGAAAAAAGAGTCTTAAGATTTGACATGACCTTCTGGAAAAAAAGAACGTCAATGATTTTAAAGTATCAGTTGATTAGTTGGCTTCCCCAAAGTAGTAAGGTTGACCTGAACGGCACTGTAATCCGAATCTGTGAAAACCTGAAAATCAATGCTAGTCCTGCTATTCTGTTTTAAAACTAGTTCCAAGACATAAGAAAGAAAGAAATAGAAAGACTTAAATTGTTAAATATTTAAATCTATAGAGTATGGAACAGTAAGGTGAAGGCATATTTTATTGTCAATACATTTAGCTAGGGAAGGTTACTCACTGCAGTTAAGATTTACATTATGGTTAATTATAAAAGTCCTGCAGTTGATAAGCCTTTAGCTTTTAGCAAATTGAAACAATTTAAGGAGAGGCAGTGCATGAAACAAATTTACTCATGGCACCATACAGAATTCTCATTGTTAATCAGCAAGATTTGAGGGGAGTCTTATTCCTTACTCTACAAGAAGAAATCTAACATGTAAAAAAAGATTTATGTGTGTGTCTTAGTGTAACTATTACCTGTGTTGTTTGTATTTTTAAAGTACAGCCAAACATTAATCATATTTACCAAAATGTACACTGTAAAATTGGATTAATCTTCTAAACAATATGTGTGTTTTTAAATATATGCAATACAGATTACCTCTCCAGGACTCTCCCTTAACTCCCTCTTGTTCTATGTTAAGAAATCTGATTTGACCTGTCTAGTTATCTTAAAGGTTTTCTTCCTGAGGACAACTAAAAGGTGTTCTGTGTTTGATTCCTCTGGTGTTTGTGTCACACAGATGAGGTCAGAATCAGATCTGTTGAGAAGACATAGGAGCAGAGAAGATTCTGTTTAATTTTGTATTTTCCCATTCCTCATATCACAACATATGAGATGGCTTCACTACTGTAAGCAGGTTGAGTGCAAGCATGGACCTTCTGCAGACTGTGTCTACTAGGAATCATTTCTATGGATTCAAAACTGAAACTTGAATGTAATGGTAATACAGACATTTTCATCTCAGAGTATGCTGGCTAGAATACGGTTTTTGAATCTTTCTGGTAATAATAATAATAGCTGACAGTGGTAAAGTAACTAAAAATCTGTAGCTTGACTCAAAGAAACAGGAGTGTCTGGAGTGATGAGGGACTATGTAATTTTTTTATCTGGTATCAAGCTAGCTTGCAAAGTTGATATGAACTCACACTTTTTTGTTTGCAAATAGAAATAAATTTGGGTTTCTGTTTCTCGAATTCCTTTCAATTTTTAGCTTTAAAATATCACAACTATCAGGTTTTTCTCAGTTTCCATATAGAGTAGTCATTACAAACCTATTTTACAGAAGTCTTCCAAGACCTAATTTAAGGTCTGAATATACAGAAAAAACCCCATATTCTGATGTGGTTTTGCTGTGCTCTAAGGCAGATACTTTTAAGTTTAAAAAATCTTAATGAAAATAGGAAATGTCTTTGCTATTTTCTTCTTATCCATCAATTTAACAAATAAAATTACATTGCAGATGCATACTTTCCAGATTGAGCAGGAATTGGACTATAAATAGCATAATCTTTAAGATGTTAGCAAATAGTAGAAAATAAAAAGAAAGTATGTGCACTAATTTTTTTCTTTTAAGGTCATATTTTGAAACTGTTGAGTTAATTATGCCCCTCCTCCATCCTTGCTGAAAGTTTAGTGGATTTAGACAATGATGAATGAGAATTTAGAAGATTTTTTGTGTATTTTCTTGTTAGTCTGAATTCAAGCTATTATGGAACCTTTAATGAAAGAACATGTCGATAATTTTGTGTAACTACCGAATTCAGCTGGCAATGGTATATTTGAGAAAGAGTGAATGAGGGTTTTCATGCCAAATCCAACAATATCATACTTTGTGTTTCTTAACAAAACCCTTCTATATATTTCAATCTTGCAGACAATGCCCTTCAGACACAAAAATACACGACGAATTGAAGGCCTTGATAGCAATGTGTGGTAAGTAAGAGGAAAGTATCTGCAAATTTCAGAAAATGTCCTTGGCTGATGTATTTTCTTTCCAAAAAGATAATTATTGCCAATAATAAGGTACATGGTAGTTGCTATCTCTGCTGGAATATATTTGGCACCTGTTTAAAAGCAGTGAACTAAATTAAATTAAAGGTATGATTAATTGTTATTTTTGAGCTTTAAATATTAGGCTTGGGCTTCTCTTCATCTATTAATGTAAGACAAGTATAACTCGTGGGCATGGTAGCATAGCTGATTTTCAAATTTAAATGTTAATTCTGTTGAGTAATGTATTTCAATTACATCTGATTTGTGTTTACTAAAAGAGTCAGATTTTTTTAAAGCCATTACACTTGTTTTATAATTTAGCTCATAATATTTAATACACCTTTTTCTATGTATAAATTGGTCTTAAAGCAATATTGCCATCACTAATAAATGTGGAATTTTCTTAGTTGGTGAAAAGACTATTTTGGGCTTACCTTAGTTTGTATGTTTATGTTGCAGTAGTTATGTGTACATATACGCAAGGTGTTTTGATTATTCAGCCTCAAGCTAATCTTTAGCAATATATGCTCATTTTTGACAGAACTGTGATGCTATACAGGGAGGGTTATGATGGGGGAAGAGTTGCTTTGTTTTGTTTTTTAAATCTTGTTAGCATTTCGGTAAGGAGGAAAGAGTAAAATGTGAAGCTGACCTGTGAAGGGAGGAAGGAAAAATTGTTCAAGGATCCTGCAGGCTCCTAGGAACAGTTAATAGGCAGCCTGAAACAGTCTGTTGCCTAAAATTACTTTAAAAAATTATAACACTCTGAGGTGACTGGGTAGTTTAAATGATACCTTCAATTGACTGAATTTAACCTTTAAGACATTTAATGTGCCTGGTATTCAGTTTCTGCCTATATCCAGAGTAACTGTGTGTTTGTGTATCTGCACATCTGAGCACTTCTGGCAGAAAAGTTATTCTGTGCATGCAGAACATCAGCCTTTTCTTAGATGCCCTCTGACTCCTGTGGTCACTTACATTATTTCAGCCCTCAGCTCTCCATGTGAGCATTCTACTTAAACCTGTTCACAGTGCTGTAAGTTTGGCTGTAAATGAAATACTTTTGTTTTGCCTTCTAATGCTAATGAATAAAAAGATAATTTATCTCATATGTTAACTTTAAGATGTTTTTCTTTACAGGGTTGAATTTACGAAAGTGGCAGCAGATCCCTCAATTGTTAATCTTGGTCAAGGCCTTCCTGATATATCCCCTCCCAGCTATGTTAAAGAAGAGCTGGCAAAGGTAGCAGCAGTTGACAGACTGAACCAGTACACCCGAGGCTTTGTAAGTATTGTGGAACGCCAGGACCCAAGTTCAGTGGAAAATGTGCCACAAGGAGAAAAAAAAAAAGACTTTAAATTAGTTTTATCTATAGATCATAGTCTTATGTCCCAAATTAAGTTGATCTAATAGCCTTATCTGTTACTAATGAACTTCCTCTGTGTAGGTTTCTTCGAGGCAGAATCCTTCAGCTAGAGCAAAATGGTAGAGCAGGTTTGGAATAGACTGTCTCTGTTGATTCAGTTGATTCAGTTTAAAGAGTGTAGGTCATACATTTACATCTGACCTTGGTCAGTGGGAACATGTATCAGACAGTACAATGGGAGAACAAAAGAGAAATACTTCATATCACTGAGACAGCACGTCTAGGATCAAGAAGAGATATACCCACAGAACTTAGCAGGTTTCAGTGGAGACTAGGAAGGGATGAAAGCAGGAAATTTTTGCCCTGGAATATATTCATTACCCATTCTGTAGGCTGGCTTGTAGAGTTTCTGTCTTGAGCTGGGTGTGAGGATGTGGCATTTATCACTGTCCAAGGCAGGGTATTCCAGAAGACTGTTACTGTTTTAGTACGACCACTTCCTTGTTTGGTTTGACTGTCTTTTGTTTTGTGTTAAACTGTATTGCCCAAATGAGAATCATATGCCAGGACTGCTACAAGACCCTCAGGAGTCTATCAAGTATTTTTGTAGCTTACCATTTGCAAGAGGGGCAGAAAAGCATTGTATAGACCAGAAACTGTAGGCCAGAAACTGTGTTGGTAGTTGTGGCATCACTGTGTGCATATTCCAACATAATTTTTGCCAATCCTCCGAGAATCTGCATGCATTAGAAATGATGGGGAGCAGCAGTGGCCAGCGCTTCCCTAAAGGACAATCTCTCACAGTGGGCAGAGTGGAGGTCTGGGCAGCTGTGCCCTGGGGAGCAAGGCATGCCCAGAGATACTGGCTGGGGCAGCTCAGCTCACCTGAGATCAAGCCAGGAAGTCAATGCACAGGTCAGGCTCAGCAATGCTAACCACAGTCAGACATAACCCAGTCATCACTGGGCAGGTCCAGAGTGACACAGCAGGTCTAAGGTCAAGCCACAAAACCAACAGGAACCTTTAGCTATGTACAAAGATACACACAAATGATATCCTGAATTAAATTAACTTCTGGGCTAAGCATTAGTATGTTTATCACCCATAATAAGGTGGGTGAAAAATCTTTGCTCACCAAGCAGACAAGGTTTTGGAGGACCCTTGGCACAGTGGACAAGGTCACAGAGAACATGGGCTGCAGTCTTGTCAGGCTGCTGTACTGTAACAGACTTTACCAACTACTAAGAAAAACATTATCTCAAGCTGAAACCACACCAAATCTACTTTCTGACAAATATTCGCAGACTGATTCTGTGAAAATATTTGCAAATAAAGCATAAATTTCCTAATGCATGCAATTATTCAGTATTTACTTCTGTCACTTTGTTCTTTTTATCCAAATAGTTTGATAATTCCCATGGTAATTATGGATATTGACAGATATACTGGAGATAGTAATAAAAGAGGAATTTTTACTAATATTCCCATCTTCAACCTTTGCACTTCATCTGCAAACTTCTGCACTTCTAAGGTTTTTGAGCACAAGTATTTGTGGTAGCACACGTGGAAGGGATGAGGATGAATAATGCCCATCCATCTAATAATTGATGCATTGTCTCAGCTAAACTCGGAGCTCTCAACAACTGCAGGACCACAGAGTGGCCTGATGTGGCTTGGATGCAGCAGCATTCCTGTCTTGCTGGCTGGCCCACGGCAAGAAATGACTGCCATTTGAATCAGCAATGATTTGTAAGCCTTAATTTATGGTAATGTTTTTGTTTACAGAAGGATTCCTGATTTAATGCCTTGTGTGTCGAGATATAATGTTCAATATTTGAGACGATTTTTGTTACTTTGTTGCATTTTCTCAAGGAGCTGTTTTCTATTTCTATTAGGTATCTCAAAAGAAAAAAAATATTTTAAAGGTAGAAAACCTGCAGTTTTCCTGAATAAACAGAATTGTGCCTTCTTATTTCTGGGTTGTATATGATCATTGTTGCATGTTTGTTTTCTTTTTATTTGCACATTTTGAGAAGAGTATGTTAACTGCCATGTCCCTGGAGGGGACACAAATGGTGAATGGTACTCTGAGATTTGGGATGTGACTATATGAATAAATATTTTGATCACATGTGCTATTTATCAGCAATATATAAATACACTAAAAAGATTTTCCTTGCTTCAAGTACTTTTAGTTGAAAGATGAGGAAGGAAACGGAAGGAGCTGAAAGAGACTCAAAAGGAGGTGGGGGTGAATTGGTGTCAGAATATTCCCTGCTCTCTTTCTGTTTCTTGTCCTAGCTCTGCTATAGGCTATCTGGACCTACTATGAGATGTGATAATATGAAAGAAATTGAAAAGCAATTAGAATAAAAGAATAGAAACAATTTCCGAGTAGATACAAATAAATTGAGAACACTTTTCTTTCCTAGTGTGCAAAAAGTTTAAACTCTGCAACCTGTTAACAGCCATTAACACTGAGGGCTAATATTGTATTTTTCTATTTCAAAAAGTAATAGTTTGATACACGTGGAAAAAAGCCCAAACACAGGCTTTATACTTTGTCAGGAACACTTCAATCAGTTTTTTTGTTTGTTTGTTTGTTTGTTTTGAACAGGGACATCCATCACTGGTGAAAATCTTGTCTCAAGTCTATGAGAAAGTTTGTGGAAGAAAGATTGATCCTCTCACAGATATCTTGGTGACTGTGGGAGCTTATGGATCTCTGTTTAGTACAATACAGGCACTAATTGAAGAGGGAGATGAAGTAAGTTTTTATGGAAATATTCACAGACATGAGAATCTTTCTCTTTTTCTTATTTGTCTACTTCTAATTATAAGTTAATGTTGGGGCTTATTTCTGTCCCCACTGGTTTGATTTTTTACAGTTGTACATCTCACTTATGGTTTCAGAAGCTGTGATTAGGAAACTATCCTTTGAATGTCTTCCTATCACACATCAACTTACAAACACCTTTTTTCACACTTAGGGTATCTTTGGCAGTTTCTTTGTCACTGTTACTGTTAGGTGACACAATACACGCTGATTTCTTATTTCAGAAAACGTGTGGGCTGTTGCCTGCAACAGGCAACTAAGGGTGGCACAAAGAATTGTTGGTGTTTGGGTAACCATTGTGTATCAGGTTCTGTTTTGGGCCATTGCATGGTGGCAGCATAGGTAGTAGAAAAGCTTGTTAATTTACTGTACTAGCTGATTACTCGGCTCTTCACTATTACTGATGTCTGCCTTCTTGACAATGATATAAAAAGTCATTTTACAGGTAGATAAAACCTTTTTGTGTTGTCATGTATTTTGCTTTCAGTGTTTTATTTGTTTCACTTGTATATTGTATTCTCATCTTGCTTTTCTGTTGCTCTGATACTAATTTCTTTTTTATTTGGAATAGTTCTATTAGCCTTTGCCTTTGGTGGTGTGGGTTTTTTTGCTTGTTTGTTTGCTTGCTTTATTTTCATATTGTCTAGCCTCTGTGCAGTTTTTCTTGAGTTTGTCCTCTTTCTTTACCTGAAATTTTTTTGTCTGATAAAATTTGAGGACTTAACTGTTCTTCTGAGTTTTCTACATACTTGGAGATCTTGGAGTTTCATGAGCATAATTAGAGCAGCTCTGCTGTGGTTCAGTAATTTGCCATTGCTATTTCCCATCTGTGCATCTTTGCCTTGCACCTTCAAATCTGTGTGTAGGACTCAAACATTCTTATCATTATAACTCAATAGTTGTAATGTGTAACTATAGAAAAGTAGCCTGTGTGTGTTGTCAGAAAGGAGTAGTGCTTATCAAACTTAGTCTGAGGGCATTATTGTGTTGTGTTCTAAAAGGAGGAATATTCTACAATGTTACAACACTTAACCTGGAGCGCCAGGAACATTATCAAGTTATGGCACCAAGGTAAATGTAGAAATATGATGGTATCATGCACAGTATACTCTTTGTTTCTGATACTGATGATTGTCATTTCAGGTAATAATAATAGAGCCATTTTATGACTGTTACGAGCCAATGGTAAAGATGGCGGGTGCAAAGCCTGTTTTTATCCCACTAAGATGTGTGAGTAACTCTTTAAAAATTACTAATTATATGAAGTTTCTTATTCATATTCAGTACAGTTTGATGAACCCCTATGTGATCCATTTCTGTATCATTTTTCATAATATCAAATTACATAAAAATGAGATAGATTGCTATAGTGTACGTCTGAGACAATGATAATCCAGAAGAGATAGAATATTTTATTAGTGTTGGAGAAGGTGAAACAATGTTTCTTATTTCCTTTAATTTGTGTAGTCTGAAAGCTGATTAAAACTGCTTTCTTCAGTTTTCAGTGCAAATTATGGAAGGGAGATCCACATATCAGTGCAATTTCTCTGTCAGCTGGTTTTCTAAAGATTTGGTTCCTGAACCCTGCAGCAATTCCTACAATGAAAGAATACAGCTTATTTTCCAAAATATGCTTGCTAAATAAGGACTGATCCTGTAGTAGATGTATTTGCTATACATGCAAGAATTACTGTTTCCTTTAATGTTAAATAGGCTATGGGTTAATATGGGTCAAATTGGTACTGCTGGCATTATGCCCACAGCTTGCAAGGGCTGTACTGCATGCCAGTTGTGCCTTGTGCAGCTGGCAGCCTTGCATGGAAAGGGCTAATGGGCTCTTTGGGCAGGACTCTTGCAGGAACACTATGAAATCAGAACAACACAGAGTGACAAAATCTCCAGGACTACAGTGGGAGTAGGTGAGACTGTTCCTCTGGATGCCCACTTTCTAGGGATGTTTTGAATGACAGGGCACCTCCTAGTATTTTCTGTTTCACACCATTGTTCTTGGTCTGTCCCTCTCCCAGTCATTGCAGGTGTCAGAAGGGTAGTGTGGCCATGCTCCCTGTTTTTTGTACCAACTGGCCCAAACTTCTAGACCATTTGGAATACCTCAGAGATACTTGTATTGTGTAGTATATAAACTCCAGACACTCAGTAGAGCAGGTTTTTCATTAGTTTAAAGAGGAGGAAAAGACCTTGAATCCCTAGTGTTGATCAGTCTTTTCAGTCAAGCTAGCACACACTTGCTCTACTGTCTGGCAAGGCTGTAAACTCTCCTGCCATGTGACTGGGCTTTCTGCATTACACACTGTAATAATCAGCACATGTGCAACAAGATCCTGAAAATCAATTCCTGCGGGGGCTTTCAGGCAGACAGTGGCCAGGAGAGGACAGCCACTGTCATAACAGTTTACCTCTTCCTAGAACAACCTTCTCTCAGGTGAGCAAGACAGATTGGATAGGTTGTTACATATGGTTATGAAAGTGAGGGTGATAAGTTGAGCAGTTCTCTTTAAGCTGCAACATGTATTAAAGCCATGTATCAATTTATAGTGGTTTTGTTTTTTGTATTTTTTTTAGAAAAAGGATGGAAACACTGCATCTAGTGCTGATTGGGTCTTAGATCCTGCTGAACTTGCAAATAAATTTAATTCCAAAACAAAAGCAATTATTCTGAATACCCCACACAACCCGATAGGCAAGGTAAGAGTCGTGCTTTGACACCACCTTAATTTCAAAGAATGCCTTAAGTACTGTGATTAATGCATTTTCCTTTATTTTTTCTGAATCCCAGGTTTTTACTCGAGAAGAGCTCCAAGTAATAGCTGATCTCTGTATTAAACATGACACCCTGTGCATCAGTGATGAGGTGTACGAATGGCTGGTGTATAAAGGGAATAAACACGTTAAAATAGGTACTGATTTTTTGTGGCATCTTAGAAGTGGCTGTGGAATGATGCTGTGAACTTGCCTCCCTACGGCAGTGCTTGCTGGAAGAAGCTCAAACTTCAAGCTTTGAAATTTTTCAATGTTTAGGCTCTAAGGAGGAGAGCCCCTCTCTTTTCTAAAAAGTATTTTAAAAAATAATTTCCAAATAGAATTTCCAAAGCTCTTAAATGACTTTGGAGCAGATGTCCACAGAAACCAGTGGGACTGATACTTGTAATTCAGTTATGATCATATGAATTTGCCATCCTTATTCAGCTACTTTGTTGGCCATGACAAGTATAGCTTCTGTTACTGTGTGTGTATTTGACAGTGCTTTGCTGAAGAACGAATAGAAGGAACAGGAATTAGAGCTTCCTTCTCAAAGCTTTGTAGAGATGATGAACGAGGGAAATGGACAATGAAGAATACAATTATTTTTACTCCACAAATTATAAAAACTAAAAAATAGTATAAAGGTCATTGTGGAGATAGTGCACAAGCACTGTCCCTCCGAAGGATGGAGACAGGGTTAAATACTGGACATTGAATTCAGTGAAGTAAGTCCTGCAAGTGCAGTATGAAAGCCTGTTAAATCTCAGGTAGTGTTGCTACAGGGGTAAAGCACCATTGCAAGAACAAACCAGAAAAACAAATAATGATGCCAGGTTCCTGATCCTCTTGTTTTACTTGATCCAAGTTTCACTGAAGTTAGTGGAATCACTCCCACTGCCTCAGGACAATTTAACCTAGAGCAGGTTACTGAACTCCTTTGCCAGTTCTGTAATGCTACAGCTATGTATTTCTGTGAAAGTTTCTAGTCGGGTGACCTCAGGTTGGCTCTGCTGATGTATTTGAAAAGTCCAAAACTTCCTTCTCATATGTACAGATATTTTGTTTCTGATTGTAGCATCTTGCATGAACTACCTGTGATGTACTTATTGTTGTATTAAAGGCACATTTCAGTTGTGTGCAATAGAGGCATATAGTGAAGATTAAACAATAAAACCAAGACACTTAAGTATAAATTAGACACAAACAGACTTACCTTTTTCCCCTGACTCTACCACTGGTTAAATGCAGAATAACTTTGCTTCTAGGTTTCAATTCTATATTTGTAGAGTGACAATAAAATCCATTGGTGGGGGCTACACCACATACACAGTATGAAAATTAAATCTTACGAGTAATAGAAAGAAAATTATATATAAATGACCTTGCAATACTTGTTAGCTCAGCTGCACAGTTGCTGGTCATCCAACTGCAGTACATTGATTGCATTGGCCATGCATAGGCTATGAGTTTTTGTTGGGGGTGACCTAATTCCATGGCTGTTGTGGTTGCCTTGATAGTGATACTATCAAATATCAAATAGTATCGAAGACCTTCAGACATGAAAGAAGGAGAACATTCTGGGCACATTAATATGGTAGTAATCTGAGCCACTGCATCCTAACAGGTTACCTAACAGACACTAACTGTACGTCCCAGTTGCAAAGTGAAGTCAGTAAGATTAAAGATTTCTACGTGGGCTTAGCAGGTGTTTCATGGCCTTAGCATTTCATGCAAGGCTGTATTCAGAATTAAAATTTGTGTGGTGTAAGGTAATCCCTTTTCCTTTTCAACAGCAGCAGGTCCAAAGACATTGTCAGCTATGCGTCATCATCTTATGGACGGCGAGCGAATTCTTAAGATGCAGCAACTCCATTGTTGTCAGAATCTTAATGCTTCAAGCCAAAACATTTCCGGTTAAACAAAAGGCATGCTGTAATTTAGCATAAAATGTAAAAATACTATATTAAGAAAAAGCAAATTAAACCCCAGAAAGTTAGTAACTAGGTTTAGGTACAGATTCTCTAACAGATCTCATGATATCATCTTTAGTGTTAAAAGTACTCTTGAACTTTCAGGGTAATACTGTAAACAATAACATTACTTCAGTGAAAGAAACAGGCTCTGCTCTTTTTTTACTTAAGTTCCTCATTTCCCTTATTACTTTTAAGTCTACAAAAATAGAGTGTACCATTTCCCTATTTATAAACTCTTGTGTTTCCATAATAACCTCTACATGTTCTGTTCAATGTAGTGACACTCCTTTTTTTTTGTGGGACGTAGAAAATGGATATTGCATCATTTTACATGATCTGATAGTTCTTCCTTGATACAATTTAGCAGGGGTTGCTAGCCACAGATCATAAAATTAATACAGTCTTTGTGCTGTCACTGAAGCAGTTTTTGGTAGCATACAACACAATCATGTTTCCCATCATCTGACTTCTGTAAAAATGTGGACTTCCTCTGCATTATGATTAGGGTTGCACTGACAGATTTAGAGATTGCACCTCATAACTGAGGATTCTGAGCAAGCCACTCAACAAGCTGAGTACCATCCCAGGTAACAGGCTTATTATATGTTAGCTTGTACTTTATTAGTTTTTAAATTGTAGTCAGACTTGGTTATGGTGTCATAAGATGTCATATATGGTTGCCAAGTGGCATAGAGAAATTTTCCTCTCTATTTAAGACTTGTTTGTAAAAGCAATGGAGCTGCTTCTTTCTTTGTGCCCTTGTACTGCTGCTATTGTTTGAAATGCTGCCACATTCTATCTCCAAGGTTGAATTCCTGTGACTATGTGGCAAAACAGGCTTGCTAGAGCCCATTAGCTTTGAAAGCCAATTCTTTCTGCAGCCTGTGAGAGCCAGTTTGGGTGCCTCTAGGAAGTGATCTGTACTCTTGGCCTAGTTGGTAGAAGACACATCTGTTCAAACTTTTTCTTTTCAAGGTCATCACAGAGTAGTTGAGTATGGGTAGGCTAATATGAAAATCAGTTTCTTTCATGCTCTTTGGTTTCTCTTCTTGGTAAGTTTGCTCAAAAAATTACAATACATGTTTCAAATAACTGAAAGAATTACACCATGTCTAATGCCAATAACTGCTACAAAAAGTTCCTTGTGAAATTCAGGGGTTTAATTTGGAAAATCTTTGTTCATTGGTCTCGCTAGAGAGATTCATTGGTAGTGGTTCTACAAATACAAATGAGGTGAAAATGTGTTGGTGACTACTGTAATTACAACCCTGGCTGACTTGGTGTCTCAGACTTACATGTGTCTGGATTTATATGTTTCTCTTGAAATTAATTAAGTTAGAGTCCAAGTAGAGCTTTGCAGAAGCAGTATAGAGAAAAAAAGATTGCAAACTACAGGCAGAGACCTTTTCTCTGTCATCTCCTTGGAAAGGAAACAAAGGATTTTGGTCTCCTATCAGATTCAACTGCAAAGACAGAGACAGGCCTCTGTGAGTCCCTTAATCACTGCAGATATTTTAGCTAACTGCTATTGTTACTCAGTCTCAGGCCTGTTCAAACTGTACAATACAGCATAATTTATTTACTCACTCTGCTAGTTTTCTGATGTTCTGTTGTTTGATTCTGGGTTAAAAGTCTTAGTAATTATTATTTTTTCTGATATCTGAGATAGACAGTGTCACTGAACTGGACAATTCTAGTGAAGTGGGTTGCAGTGCCTGAGTCAATGTTGTGTATAGTACTATTACCAGGCTTCAGAAATAATCTGTCCTAGAGTGAAGGGGTAGCCTTAGATCATATTTTTCTTACCAATAATTGTGCATTTTTGCTGAGGATAACTAACACATAGTTTTCAAAGTGTACCTCTTTTTCTCTGTCTATTCTTTCTCCTTTCATTAATCTCTACCTTCTTTTAACGCTAAAAAGCACTGGCCCATATATCCTTTCTCATTTGTTACAATTGCTAAAATTTTAGAACATTCTTGTTGTTTGCTTAAGATGCAGTGAAAATACAGCTCTGAGCTAGGGGCAGTGCAGTTCTTTGAACCACATGGAATATGTGAGTGCACCTGTACTAAATTAATTTTATTTTATGTACAGCTATGTTGCCAGGTATGTGGGAAAGAACAATAACTATAGGAAGTGCTGGGAAAACATACAGTGTAACTGGCTGGAAGGTAAGAAGAATCAATATAAATAAGTTAAGTCATAGAAATAACAGAATGCATTTTTTGCTCTAAAAACACCTCTGTTTTTATGACCTGTGTTCTGAAAGTTTCTGGCAAATCTTCATGTCTCCAAAATGTATCAATACCATTCAGTTAGAACAATTACCTGTCTTTAACACCCATGTCTTAATTATCTTCTTGTCTCTTAATTGATAAACTCTTGTGAGTTTAAATTACTAAAAAGTCCATCACAGTACCATTTGCTCAAAATCTGTAAAGATTCTTGGAGAAAACATGGATTTTATGATATTTTAATTTCCCGGTTTTCACATCTTGACTTAGAAATATGTATCAGAAAGGGAAAAAAATTTGGCAACTAAATTGTTCTTTATCACCTGTCTTCACATTTAATCACAGCATATATGATTGAGTAGTGAGCTTTTGCTTTATATTTAAACTGGCTTTGACAGAGGACCTTAAGAGATGGAAAGTTTCTAAACCTATTAAAAATAAGATTTCTAATAAATGTTCAGTTTGATTTCTAACCCTTGTTATATGAAGAGTTAAAAATTTGCTCAGTATCCTATGATAGGGATAAGGGGGAACCATAACTGTTGTCTCAAATCTACCATTTTTAAAAGGTATCATACACCAAGCTTTGTGTAAACTATCTTTTTCTTAACAATTTATAAAAAAAAATGCCTTAAAAGAGAAAAACTCGAGACATTGGCTAATTTTTAGTATTTGTCATCTTTTAGTAACACCACTGCCTTCAAGTATAATGTATGCATGCTTTCCTCCCTTAGCTTGGTTGGTCCATTGGTCCTGAGTACCTGATTAAGCATTTGCAAGTTGTTCATCAAAATACACTCTATACTTGCCCAACTCCATTACAGGTAGGTACAGATGGGGCAAAGAACATTGTTTTCTGGTGTAAGAAAGCTGTTGGCCTCATGTAATTAAAAAATAATCGCAACAATGGATTTGTAGTTGGAAAAACACATATTCTAGGGTGTAAGAAGAGGAAACAAATTTGACCAGCTCAGCAATTATTAAAAAAAAAAAAGAGTCTTAGAGATTCTTTCATCTTTCACCTACAAACTACTTCTTGCATAAAACATGAGAATCTTAATGGTTGCCTAGCAAATATAAGTGAAAGTTCTGTCTACTAGTGCCGAGTATGCTATGGTACATTTTATCAAACAATTAAATTTAACTTCAATTCGGATGGTAAGCCATTGTGTCAAAGACTCTGACTTCTTTATATGATTAGTGCCTAGCAAAAGTTTGGGTGCTTTGGGTGTTGCCACAGCACAAAGTGTAACAAAGTAGCAAACAGATTACAGATGTAGCTAGTGGAATTTGTGTGGTGATTTGCTTCATAAGGGCTAGGATTGAACAAAAATCCACGATTTAAGCAGGAAATGAGAGTATCTGTGAGTTTACTGGATGTTAATGAGTACTTTGGACCTTATGTTTCCAGGAGGCTTTGGCACAGGCATTTTGGATAGACTATAAGCGCATGGATGACCCAGAGTGCTATTTTTACTCCCTGTCTCGAGAGCTGGAAAGCAAGCGTGATCGGATGGCTCAGCTACTGAAAGAGGCTGGACTAAAGCCTGTCATTCCAGATGGAGGATACTTCATGATTGTTGATGTTTCCACATTTAGTAAGTATAAAGTTTATTAAAGAGCTTGTGGAAAGTAAATTTGGTTAATCAGAAAATGCAGCTTTCATTTTTAACGATATTCTCATCTCATATGTGTGCACAACGTTGTCGGGAGTACTAACTGGGATTGAAATTTTCAATTTCACCTTAGCTTGTAAGGTCGATTTTGTGAGCTTCAGCAAAGCATTTGGGATCCTAACTTGCTCTCCAAGCTTTGACAAATTTTTAGAGAGGATAAAGGAGGTAGATAAACATTCATATTTTCAAAATGTCTATGATTATGAAAATGTATGAGACCCAAGCATGTGGATAATATCTTGAGTTCATACCATTTGTGTTTTCCTCTTTCTGGTCTTTTCTTGTTTATTTCTTTGTTTTTCCTAATCTGAAGTCATACCCTGAAGGCTCTTGGAAGCATTCTGATCTCTAAACACTGTAAAATGCTACCAAAATTTACAAACCATTTGAAAATTCAGGTTATGGTAGCTTCAGAGGAAGAATTCTCACAGGGGAAGGGTTTTTTAAATTCCACATTTTTTCACTAACGGGTCTAAGTAACATTTGTCATTCAGACAGAAATGTTTAAACACAGAAGGATATCACAGTTTAATCATGTGTCAGGAAGTTTTAGGTACCCCAGTTTCGCAGGTGAGAAAACTGCATATTCAGGGATTATTGCTGTCCATGCAATAAATGCATTCTTCAGTACCCTCCACAGCCCTGAACCCCCAATAGCCCAGACTTCATGACTTGGAGTATTACATGGGTTTCTTCCAAGCTACATGTCTGAATTTGCTTTGGATGGAAAGCAAGTGCTCAGATGAGAAGGGAAAGGTTCAATCTGTTGGCCTATTTTACTTCTTATAGTATAATTTAAAAATTCTATATTAAAATAAAAACATGTATCATCATTCTTAAATATTAACTAATAAAATGCTGTTAATGAATGCCTTCCCATTGGAATCTAGGAAATCTTACAACATATTTGTTTTACATTTAGATGTGGATCTCTCTGATATAGATGAGAAACAACCTTATGATTATAAATTTGTCAAATGGATGATAGCATCTAAGGTAAGATATCTCAGTCCTACTCTAGTTTTAGAAATTATATTCTGCTGAAAGCAAGAGCAGTGCAACTGTTGTTATTAAATAATGTAGTAGATATGTTCCATTCAAAATATTATTTGGTGTGGCTGATAATGGTGTGACTAAAATATTGCTAAGTATGTTTAAAATGTATGCTGTAGGTTTGTGCTACATCCCAGCACTTTTCTTTCAGCATGTTTAAGTATTAGTTGTACAAAAGTACCTTTGAAATATTTTGCCTAAGAAAAGTAATTTGAATTTAGTAAAGCCTAGCTAGTACATACAAAATTGAACCTGGTCTTTCCTTCTTGTGTTGGGAGGGAGACTTCTAGAAACAGAATAGTAAAATCATCATGCTCAAACCAGTTTTTTCATACACATTTAAATAAGCAAATGCTATTTCTGTTTTATGTTTCAGAAGCTGTCAGCAATTCCTCTTTCAGCATTCTGTGGTCCTGAGACAAAGAAACAGTTTGAAAAATACATACGTTTTTGCTTCATTAAGGTAAACTTGTGTCCTGAAAATCAATGCAGTGCAGGAATCTGCAAGAGACACTGTTACATTTTTGCCCAGGACCTCTTGTATTGAAAGCTTTTAGGAACATAAAGTTAGTTTGGTGTAAAATTTAGCACAAAGTATCTTCAATTATCTTTTTGCTGATGGACTTTGCACCATCAGTGTGGGTGGCATGGCTAGGAAGGACAACTGGCAGAAAAAACCTGGATGGGTAGCCTTTTTAAGCTTATTGTATTGATTTTTAAAAACATTCTTGACCAGTGATGACAGTGAAAATTATTGAGACAGGTAAGATATCAATTAGTGTGATACCCATAATCCAGAGCAGAGAATAACTGTATAGCAGAGTGTGTGCCCAATGCCTGCTCAGTGTTCAACAGCAAAAACAGTGAAGAGGTCACCTTCAAATGTAGCTCACTTGCCTAAAAATACACAGAGTTTCACATGAGCTCCATATTACAAAATAAAACTTTTTTGTGAATTGGCTGATTTTTGCCATTTTGTGAACACCTTCTTTGCACATATTCTTCCCCCTGTTAAGTCTGCTCTTGAAAGGCTGAAAATGTTTGGGGACAGGTATGTAAACTTTGATAAGCCCAAAGCCCTAAGATGTTTCCCAATTGTTTGGTAACAGAGTCAACATAATGGAATATGTGCAAATCCTGAACTGTTCTGCTTAAAGATCAGAGCCTAAGCCTGAAAGAATAATGAAGGGGAGTTTCTCCTTGTGTTACTTACTTCTTTTGATGAGGTGTAAAGTCTGTGGTATAAACTGAGCCAGTAACAACCAGGGTAAAGTTACTGGTTGTACCTGTGGCTGATAAACAGCACTCATCATTTCAAGTTAGACTGCCTGTTTGACTCACCAGGCTGGAGCCAAACTACACAATTTGGAGGGATTATGTTTAAGTAGTTCACAGCATAACATGGTTGCAAGGAGATTAAAAAATCCCAACTGTACTCACAGGGATTAGGAAAGTGTGCTAGCATGTCTCCAAATCAGAGCTGCTAAATTACAGCAGTGCATTAATGCCATGAATTTATGTAAGTATTGCTTTCATTAAATGGGATAATATGAATGCTGAGATAATATCTTTTAAATATATCTAATAAATATTTTCAAGGAATCAGCATTGAATTCTTTGTAGAGTCCAGATTTGTACCTAACAAACTGTCAATGGAAAACTGGCTGAAAAGACACTTATAGGATGCAACTGAAACAACCAAATACTGATTTGAGATGATATAATCATGTTCCTCTTTTCAGGAACTCCATACTTGCAGTAATAGTGTTGCTCCTTGTTTTGCAGAAAGACAGCACACTAGATGCAGCTGAAGTGATCCTGAAGAACTGGAATAAACAGACCGGCTGATTTTTCTTATTAACTCTTCCATATGGTATAACTATCTAAGAGTAGGTTTTTTTTTAATTGCAAATTTAAGAAAAAATTACCTAATACAGTACAGAATTAATATTACATTGTAAATAACTTTTTGCTGCTACCTGCTGAGGAGTTAAAACGATTTACTGAAATATGTGTAATGAAACACAGAGATTATTTTCAGTCTTTTAAAAATAAATTGTTTTTCTCTTAAAGAAACCCCAATGGTATTAATTTTTTTACTGAAAGAAAAGATTCATAGGACTTAGTGTAAAATAAATAAATGATATAGGTATTTTAAAGCTTACGAGTAAAAAAGGGGAGGTATTTTTGGTATGAGATAGTATGGGAACTAGAGAGAGACTTAGAAACATCTTACTTTGTGAAACCAAATAACCTGCAGTAGAGGAAGATGAAGACCCGTGGCTCATATTAGATAATTGCAGTGACTCTACATACCTGCCTACCTACTCTGTCTGCAGAAATTGCATCAGTTTAAATAAAGTGAAAAGTGCTAAGTTACATAATTACTATTTTATTTCCCACAATAGTTATGCATGGTGTTCTGAAGTATTCAGTCCTCAATACAGTTATAAAAGTGGCATCTAGAATAGGAATTTATTTATGTCTACCTTGTATTTATTACATGGATGAATCTACAAAGCAAAATATAGAAGACTTTGCTTTAGAGGCTCCTTTACAATCAGATGCACAGTGACATAATTATTTGTGTAATTCTTTTTCTTTGCATGTTACAACATTGGCAATGTCACACCAAACTTATTTCAAACTCTTTAGATCCAGGGGGTGCTAATGCTATTCTATGGAGCTCAATTAGCTTGGTTTCAAGCACAGTAGATAAAGGACTTCCTTCAAAAGAAGTCTAGTTGGAGAATTCTTTTCTAGCTCCCTCCTTTTTCACTTTTTTCTGCAATCTTTTAATCTGTGGATGGGTTTCCCACTAGCAGATGAAATTCAGGTAGGTGACTTTTTAAGGCTGTGTGCTTTGTCCTCCATGATCTTACTATGTTCTTCTCATGAGCTGTCCTGGTTTCAGATGGGAGTAAATTTTATTCTCAGTACCTGGTACAGTGCTGTGTTTTGAATTCAGTATGGGAATAATGTTGATATCACACTGATGTTTTGGTTGTTGCTAAGTTGCATTTATCCTAAATCAAGGACTTTTTTGTGTCTCCTGCTCTGCCAGTGAGGAGGAGCAAAAAATTTAAAAAAGCTGTGAGGGAATATAGCTGGACAAATGACCTGAACTGGCCAGAGGGATATTCACACCATCGAGTGGCATGCCCAGTAATCAGCTGGGACTTAGCAGCAGGGGGGCTTCAAAAATGGGGTCTAGCATCAGTCATTGGATGTAAGCAACTGTATTGCACATTACTTGTTTTTCTTTCTTTAAATACTTTTTGTTATCATTTTTATTATTTACTACTGTTTTTCTTTTTTACTTTTTATCAATTATTAAATATTTTGATCTCAACCTACAGGTTTTATTTTTGATTTTTCTTCCCATTCACCAGTCTGGGGTGGTGGCTGAGTGAGCAGCTTGTTGCCAGCTGAGCTTAAACAATGACACAGCTCTTATGATGCAAAGCCTGAACAAATTCAGTAACTTGTTTTGCTGATGTTTTTACTCATTCTACAATCACATAGCTGGACTCTTAACTGAATTCCATTAGACTGTGACCATGGCCAGGACCTAAAGAAAAGGCACAGAAACTGGACTGGGAGAAGAGCTGCTAGATTTTTTCATTAATACTTCCTGGTCTTGTGCTTTTGGGAGTCCAGTAGCTGGGACTTCCATAATCTTTGTAGCTGTCTTGCACAGCCATTCCCCAAATCTTGCCAGAAGATGGTTGGCTGGTATTTTGAAAGTGGTGTGTAGGCTTTGTGTAGAAAAAGCAATTAGATTAACTTAGCTGAAATTTCAAAATAAATTTGATTTGAAATTTCCTACATTAAATTCCAGGATAAACTATTTTTAAGACACTAAATTGCTATGAAACCTACTCTATATTTTACATGGAATTTTAAATCTGTTTATGCAAGTTGTACTGGAGAGCTGAGATGTTGCAGAAACGAAGAGATTGCAACAGGCTACTGAACTGCATGAAAAATCAACAAACCATTACAAAGGTCCTTTAGACATACAAATAAAAAACAGTGATTTGTTTTCATTAATGTACTGTTCATTGTGTTTGCAAAGGAATCTGAATATCCCATTATTGTTGAAATGATGCTGGTAATATTTGCAATGTAAGAATTGCAGTTTAATTACACAGTTTTATCACTGACAGTAACCAGCATGAGAAACTTGGTGTGAAATTTTAAGAAACTCCAGAATGACAAATGAAGTAAATTTTAAGATAGGATTTTTGTTGTGACTACAGTGATGGGAAAGAACAGCTGGGGACAGCAAGGTAAACTTTGTGTATTATTAAAATCATCTGTTGGGGGAGAGTGTTAATAGTGATATTTCCATGTGCCACATCAACCACTTTTTGTCTGCTGCTTGAAAAATTGCTGCAGACAAGGAGTAAATAGTTAATGATATATCATCTATTGTATTTTTGCAACATTTCTGGAAATTACTGTCCTCCTCTGGTGAAAAAGAAATTCTTTCAATTCTAAGTTAATGAGAATAGGGTTAGGAGGGTTGATAGTGATTGCCAGCAGAACATCTTTTTTGTGGAACAGAATGCAGGATAAACCAAGGCAAACCTGGAAAGCTTGAAGGGACTCGTGATGATGAGGCACATCAGTTGCAGTCATTGCTCCATATTTCAGAGGTTATGGAGAAACTTAGTATCATGTGATGTATTTACACCAACAGTTACAGTGATTTGTTTTTCATTACTCTTTTATCTTCTGGGTTTACCAAACATTTCTGAAAAAGATCATTGCAAGTGGAAAAAAAGTTTTAAATTTGTATCTCAGCATCTCTATTTTCTAATAGTTCAGCTTTCTTTTTCCAAAAGGTTTCTATTTATTTTTATCCTAAGGAATTTGCTGTCAATTTTAAACTTGCCCATTTTCAACCAGCAAACAGTACTGAAGTTGGTATGGAAGTGTTTGGAGGTTGTGTGATAATTAATTTGACTCAATTTTAGCAAGTATTAATGAACTTTTCATCCACAGCAAATTTCTTCCTTTGAGCTAGTAAATTGAAAAATATTCTTGTTTCATAGTGGAGACATGTGCTTAACTGGTGTGAAAAGTCCTCTGTATCTGATGAATAATTAGATAGAAAATTTATGACTGTTGAGAGACTTTAATGCTGATCACTTTGAAGCATTGAAATAATGGCATTTTCCAAAATCTGTAGGCCTTCCTGTCCTGTTCATCCTTTTCTTTAAGCGAGGCTAGGCTCATTCTGAAGGAATAAATTTCTTTTCCACTGTTTTATGGATTGAAAACCAGTTTTGCTGCTCATTCTACAGACTAATTTTGCATATGGATAAACTCTTGGGTAGTGAAAGCCAGGACTCGAGTCCTGTGCTGAAGGGCTTTGGTTTTGCAAAGACCAGTTTTTGTGGTTTCTCCTCCTCTTTGGCCTGACGCGCTCTGCAAGGCGGATTCGAGACAGAAGGGAGCTGATGACACCATGCAGGTGTGCGGCGTAACAAGGCAAGCCCACACAAACCAGCGGGCTTTGTGTTCGCTTCCGTCAGTCCGAGCACGGCCTGACTGCCCAGGGCTTCCGAGTCACAGCCGGCCCGACACCCGCGGCTCCTGCCCACAGAAGCGCCCGCTTCTTCTCGTCCTTCCGTCAGCCCACGAGCAGGCGACGGCAGGAAGGAGGAACTAAACTTTTCTTCCTCTGTCGGGGAATTGGAGCCAAGAACGTGTTGTACCCCATGTACTTCTGTGCAAACTTGGGGCAGTTTTGTTCATGCTTGTCTTCTGTGGGAACTCACGAAACTACTGGAGTGTGTAGCGGAACCGGAGTAAGGCCTGGGCCGGCATGGCAGGCTTTGTGCAGAGTCTGCGGGCTGCTGCCTGGGCAGAGGGGAATGTTGCAGCCCTTGACTCGCAGCCCGGCTCCCTGCTGGCACACAGCCCCGCCGTGCACCCGCACCGGCGAGGAACCGCCCCGCTCGTGAGCCCGTGCTGGCACCGGCGAGGAACCGCCCCGGCCGTGCGCCCGCCCCTTCGCGGCACCCGTAGGAGCGCTCGGCGGCCCCGCCCGCCGCCCTCGGGATTTAATAGTCGGATACTTTCGGCTGTGCTATCTCCGGCACTGTTGCAGCACCGCCGAGATGGCGTCCACCAGCCGGTACGGGGGCGGCCTGGGCGTGGGGGGCCCGAAGGAGCAGCGGGAGCGGCTCCGGCATCGCTCCCGTCCGCGGCACAGACAGAAGATGGCCGCGTCGCCCCTGCTGCCGCCTGGGGACTGACCGGCGGCCATCGCCGCCCTTGCCTGGCCCTGGTGCCGCCGTTTTAGCGCGGCTCTCGCTGCACGGCGCACCGGCCCCTCTCCGGTGTTCTGTCTGTCGGGGCCGTTCTTGGGGCGGCGGGCGGCCGGGCCTCAGGGCGCCCGTGCCTGCTCGTGTGGGCCGGGCCGGCGGCCCCCGGCTGAGCGGCCTCTAAGGGGCCGAGCTCGCCGCCCTTGCATCTCCGTGTCGCTGTTGCGGGGTAGCGCTCCGACGAGACGCTGAGGTTTTTTTGGGGGGTGGGTTGTAACCTGACTGCGGGGCTCCTCGTCAGCGACAGCTCGGTGCGAACGGCCACCCGGCCCGGTTCGTCCCCCGATAGCGGCTTGGGCCGGGCCTGAGGTGGTCCCGCCGTGCCCCACGGCCCGGCACCGCCTGGCGTGACCCCCGGGTCCCTGCCGCTCAGCACCGCTGTGAGCCGAGCTGCAGCTCCCTGGCCTGCCTCCACCTTATCGGGGCCGGGAGACTGCGAGTAGGCTCCCACCCTAAATCCGTACCGGCACTAGTCAAAAAAATGGACTAGACGGGTTTCGGGCTCTGAATTCTTTTCTCCTGGAGACGTACCGAGTTTTTCTTTCTAGTCGGAAAGGCCCACGGGTGACTCTGTAACTCTTGCTAAACCAGTCCTAGGATCTAGGAAGTGCTTCCGAGTAGTCTTGCTGCAACTTGGGAGTTGTTTGCTGAGATGGGCCTTTACACACGTGCCATGCATTTTCCTTCGCTGTAGGTGGCTTAGTAAATTGAACCCATTGCAAAGAGTATAGTATACATATATATAGATAAACAGAGTTAAATTGCAATGGGAAGACAAATTTTGCAATGTTTTACGAAAGTAAAGTCTGAAACAAAACACTGTTGGTATTCTTTGAGGCTCCTGGATATTTTTTTTCCTTTTGCTTGGTGTGTCACTACCTTTTGTGTAATGCCAAATGTCAGATGATTGTGAATGCTTTGTCAACAGTGTTGTCATATGAAACTTCTGGCTGGGAATAGAAGGAAAGTAGTTTAAAGCACTTTAATATAGTACTTTGAACATAATTTACATCTGAAGATCTTGTGCTGACATGTGCTTTCTGAAGCACATTAATAGCTATGTTGACTTTAAGTTTTGGTTTCAAGTTGCAGACATTTTTGTGAACAGTGGGTTGAAATGTTTGGGTTGTTTGTATTCTAGACTCATCAGAAATATCTAAAAAATGAAAATTAAGATGGGAAATATAGGTTCGGCTGAAATAATGACAGAAATAATAGTGGAAAATGGAGTAACTCAGCAATTATATTTGGAAATTTTTTACAATTGAAATAATTAAAAATTGTTTTTTGGTTTAATCTAATGGAGGTTAGTAGTCATGATAAATTTTTTGGGATCAGCTTCTGTACTCTTGTGCTTTTAAGCTTGAGCAAAGTGGCTTTGTGGATTACATGGATTCCAATTGTAAACACTTTTTACTCCAATTTTAAAATAATTTGTTTTAGTAGCATTACTGACCAGATATTAATATGCAGTATTTGCTTTCAAAACATTTACTTAGAAACAATTGGTTGTTACTTTAGTCAGCAACTGAAAGCTGTTGTACTAAATAATGCTAATGCTTTATGGGAAGTTGTAATTTTTGAAGATCGATGGGTATGAGAGAGATCCCTATTATGAGAACTTCTTATCATGTAATTGCCTTACGAGCTGTTTATTTTTTGTTAAGATCTCACTATTAATTGCTTAATTTAAAATGGAATTTATTCTTTGAATACTTTAAAATAAACGAGTGTTTGGATTGGGAATTTTCTAAACACACGTTGTATGTGCACTACTTCCTGAGTTAAGGTAAATAATACTGTTCTGAGTTGAAGTAGTGAAAATGCTCATTTGGAATGAAGAAATCACCACTAACTTCTTGGGAAACTTTATTTAGCAGTAGTTTGTGAGGTACATTGCATTTAACCAAGTCTGTTATGTAGATTTTTGGTGATTTGATTTTGGTATAAGATATATTATGAGAACTTGAATTTAAGGTGAACTGAAGTCTTGATTGTCAAATGCAGAGTTACAGCATTTAAATAAAAAGTGCAGCTCAGGTAATCAAATTAATATTCTTGAATTTAAATCCTTAAATGTGGAATTACTGAAGTGTTCTTATTACAAAGGAACTCTTTTGCTTTCGATATGCAGCCTGCTTGTTTAATAGTAATGAATACTTCTCATTTGTTTTAGTTTGGATGTACTTCCGAGGGTGACTTGCCCAAATCATCCAGATTCCATTTTAGTGGAGGATTACAGAGCTGGTGATATGATTTGTTCTGAGTGCGGGCTAGTAGTTGGTAAGTAGTTATTAATGTTTTTATAAATTACTATGTAACCTAAATGGTGTGGGTAGGTTTGCTGTCTTGATGCCCAAGTGTGGGTGGTAGATTTGATGGAATTTGTTTGTTTTTGGCTTTTTTTTTTTTTTTTTTTTTTTTTTTTTTTTTTTGTTTTTTTGTGACTATTCATTTGCTAGAAGTTTGCTGTTTTGAATAGCCTGTCTTCTGGTAACTTCTTGCACTATGAAAAGAATTGAACCCTCTTTAAAGACTGAAAATTTAAAATGTGCTGTAATATGAATTAGAGTATCATGTTGTCCAGTATTCTGTATTTATTCATGATTCTTCTTTCATCCAGGAAAGTATAAGAGTTGTTATAAAAGCTCTCTGCGAAATAACCTGCTTACAAGAGAAAAAAACCAACACAATACAAAATCAAGCCCCAACCAACCTCAGTTTCCCAGTAGCTACAGGTTATCTTCTGCCCTGATTTATCTTTATATGGATGCCAGCATGTGTATTTGTTAATCACTTCTCCCAAGGCTTTTAAGATTTATCCTGAGTTTTCCCACTGGAATTTTTTGGAGCTCTTTTACTTGGTTTATGTAGCAGCAACTTCACAGACTAAACTATATTTCTAAGTAAAATGGAATATTTAAAATGAAAGGCCTGTTAGGCATTGTCTTTTGTTTGAATGAGAAAGAGGAAGTTGTCACAGAACCTGCTGCATATACATTTTTATGTATCTTTTCTAGCATAAGCATCTTACATGCACCTTACTGTCTTTATTCCTTTTACCATGGGGAAACTTTCCATGCTTGTATTATGATAATCCTTTAAACTTCATTGATTTCTGTTATTTTTTAGGTCATTATGTGAAAAAAATCCCCCTTGAGGATGCATGTTTGGGTGATTCATACAGTGGTGCTAAATATTTCAGATTGTTTATATCCCTCTTTCCTAGACTGTGGTGATTGTGAAAGTAGTACTAATTTAGCTAAGCAACTGAAATGTCTTTTTATGCAAAAGCAAACTTCTACATAAATTGTCAGAGTAAATATTAAAATTTTTAAACTTTAGTACCAGTTTCCTTTAAAATAATGAAACCATTTAAAACCTCTAAAGGAAGGGTTATACCTGCTTTGTTAAAAAGGACTGGTTTAAATTGCATACGTTCTGCTAAAGGTCAATGAATCAAATGAATTTGCTGGTTAAAAATTCAAATGTCCACAGCAGTATTTCCTACTGAAATATGATAGCAAGCTGTTAAGTTACTGCTTAAAAATAGTTTGGTGCATGTTCAGCTCTTTGTGTGGCTGTCATAGAGATGGAGCAAAAGTTTAGAAAAGCCGATCTTGGTCGGTTCATAATTTTTAAGATAGTTCTGGTATTGGGGGAAGAGGAAGAGCTTTCTTCACAAATGTAATTTTTTGGAACTTGGAATTTGTCAGAAACCTCACTTCATGTACCTTCTGTTACCTAGTCACAAGGATTTCTTGCCTGAAGAGTTTGTCTGGTTTTTCTGAATTGGTAGCATTGGTGAATTTTTTAGTTCAAAATGTTAGGATTTTCAATGAGCAGGATCATTAGAAAATTTATAGAAACTATTTCTGAATTGAGTTTTTAATGTGTTTTAGTGCAGTTTACCGACAACATTACTGGTAGAATAAAAAATGTTTTTAGGTAAGCATTTCTGTGGATTTGTCCCCAAAAGGCTTTAATAGTGTTGTGCTGATTGTTCTCATTCTCTGTTGCATTCATTCAGCAATTTAGCTTACCTCTACATGTCCAATTCCTTAGCTAGGGTACCCAGCAGATAATTGGGAAAACCAATTAAATTGAAGAGTGCATGACTGTCTTGGGGTGACTGTATGATGCCTATATCCCCGAATCGTCTGTTCTGTTGGTGTTGAATATTAAATTCTGCAACTTTAAGACTGGTTCCAGGAGTGAAGGGGGAGAAGAAGTGCAGAGTTTGTTATCAGAGACTGCACTGCTCCCCCGCATTCCTGCTCACAGACTGTGTTGTCTGCGGTGGACAGAGAGAGAGCTCTCCTTTGCTCTTGGTTAGTTTTCTGGCTAGCTGAGGCAGAGAGGCCCCCTGGATTGTTTTTTCCCCTTTTCTGATTTCCTGGAACTGTTTGAACCTGCTCTGGACTGAAAACGCAGAAGAGCACCGGGAGCTCACACCCGTGGCCCACCGGTCCTGGCCTGAGCCTGGGCATTCCCCAGCACAGGAAGGACTGAGAACAGCCTGAGTGAGCTGGGCAGCCACGGAGAGAACTCTTCTAAATCTGCCATCTCCTTGGAACAGCGAGAGGTTTTGCTGTTTGATATTGTTATTTTTTGTGCTGGGAGGTGTGTTGCCTGTTGAATAAACAGTTTTCTTTTTTTTTTCCACTTCTCTCCAATTTTTTTTTTTCCTAGAGGGGCCTCATTCAGAGGTTTCCTCCCAAATTTGTCCTAAACCAGGACAATGATTAAAGAGTAGTGTGAGCACTAAATACTTTCTCACCTGGTCTGATAAGAAATGTAGAGAAGGTGTAAACCAGATCCAATCCTTGATGTCTGTTTTCTGGAGATGCTTGTGAAGTAGAGATACTTTAAAGGAGTGAAGACAAAACTTAGTTTTCATGTGTTCCAAATACAGCTTTTCTGTATTTGTTGCAGATTCCATGAGACACGTTCCCCTTAAGAGAAGAACTATTTCATTTCCTGTTTTTACATAGAAAAGTTTTGTTTCAGGGCTTGCATGCGTCATGATCACATGTGAGCAGAGCCCACTGAAAAGATATTTTGGCATGGACTAGAAGTTACTGAGATCTTTCAGTGAAGGGGATCATTTAGAACGATTAACCCCTCCCATGCAAAAATCAATGTACTGTGTAGCAAAAGAAGTGCTAGGGAGGTTTATTTAAAAATACTGATTTTTAGTGTCTGCAGAGCACTGCTGGTATAAATGGTAAATGCTGAATTAGTGCTCTTACTTTACTGCTGTGAAGTACATACTGATGTGACTTTACTTTTTTTTAAAATTTTTGTGTTTGCAGTTTAGCTGTAGACAGAGCTACTAGTCTTTGACTTAACTAAGAGTATTTGCATTTGATGTTTTTCTTGCTTGCTTTGGTAAAGCACTGAAGTTGCTTATTTGTAGAAAGTGTGTAAGAGTATTATATGTAGAACTGTGTTGCAGGATAAAGTTGCTGGTGCATAGATAGTTTTCAGGTTTGTAATCAGTTTTCTGGGAATAGGAAATTAAATCAGCATTATTATAAATGATCTTGCATTTATCAAGTCTGCAGTTGAAAGGGTAAATCAAAAGAAGCTTTTGGGGGAGCAGGAGGCCAGGCCAAGGAGGAGCTGATCTCTTTATCAAGTGAATTCCATATTTTAGGCAGAGCTGTATGTTGCAAGTACTACTTTTTAAAGGGATTTTTGAGAATTTTTTTATCAGTTGTTTTCTACTTAATAGATTTTATTCTTAGTCTCAATAAGATTGAAATTTAAGTTATATCTAGTATGCTTAGGGGTTTTTTTTTGCGCAGTATTTTCCACGTGTTTGGAATAAACTGGTGTTTTGTTGTGCAGTATTAAAATAATTTCATCTTGTAATGTCATTCTCACTGAAGCTGGTGTTGAGTGTATTATTGTTTCAAAATACTGCTTCATTGTACTAGAACCTCTCATCTGCCTTTTCATTATTACCTTTTGTGGATTAGTTTGTGTTCTGTCTTTTCATGGTAATTATTTCCAACTTGTTAACTTTTCCTTCTGCTAATTGTTTTTTGCTTGAAAGGCACTTGGAGACCTAAATTACAATTATCCACAGATTTTTGATATTAGTCTGGATTGACATGCATTTGAGACTTTACAACTCTGTCCAGGTTTATTTGCTGTGACAGGAATTGTGGTTTATTATCCCTACTATTCTCCAGTCATTCTAAGCTATGTGCTACAGTAAGGGTTCATGGGCTGGTGGGAGAGTTCATGGACAGAGTTGTTAGGGCTTAGTTCTGTGTTCATTTAAAATGTTCACCGTATCTCATTCTCCAGAGTTGGTGGGAGGAAAAAAAATTCAAGAAGGTTTTTGAAGAACAGAAGCCTAGTAAATCTTCTTTCTTAACGGGCAGATGTTTTGCTTACTCCCTTATAGGCAGTAAAAAAGGCTGGGAATCAGCTGATAAGCCAGAGGGGGCTGAAGAAAGCAGAGTAAAAGTGGAAGACAAAGCACTGAATTTTCTTGATGTAGCAAGGTGATGATGTGGATTTCAGAGGAGGATAAGAACAAGTCCAGTGGCATGTACATACTGTGTAGTATCTCAGGGTAGCAATACCTTTCTAGAACATTCCTTAACCTTCTATAAAGATACTGTCATTAAGTGTTGTCTTACCATGCAGGAGTTAAGCAGTGAGGAATTTATTTTCAGTGTATAGTGAGAGATTTTCTCTGACTCGTTAGCTCTGTCTGCTTCAGTAGGCAACTGAGAGGAACAGTGCTCTTGCATGGATCTTTTCTGGGCAGCCTTCTTTAAAAAAGCTTAAGTCTGTCTCCAGATGTGAAGATCCTTGGACACATATAATTCGTTAAAGCTTTGAATAAGATTATGACCAATATTCAGACATTTATTCTGTGTTCTGTGTATACCTGGGTGTTCAGTTGAAGAATTTTAGGGGAAATGTTCTATAGCCTGTGGTCAGCATTAAGGCTGTTACAAAAATCTGTCTGAGGATTTGTTTGGCTGATAATTCTGACAAGTTTGAGATTGAAATGGTGCATTGTAAATTCAAGTGTGGTCCATGAAGAATGGGTAAGATTTGACTATACTACATGTTTGGTTTTTTTTCTTGGCAGTATAATGAGCAAGTAGGAAGGAGTTTCATAATTGCCTCTCAACTGGCCAGTTCATTGCTCAGGATGTCTGTCATAGGGATAAGATTGATTTTTCAGAAAAAACAAGCAGCTATACAGAAGCAAAGAAACCTTTTTTTTTTTATCTGTTTGTAATATCCAGTAAGTG